AAAAAGAAAAATAAAAAAAAATTGTTTATTTTTTTGTTCTTATGAATATAATTTAGGTTCGGATCTGGTTAATTGGCTATTTGAAAATGTCGATGGATTTGTTAATCGTAATGATGCAAGAAAATATGCATCATCTATGCTTAAAGCAGGTTATATTCGACATACGGTTCATAAATTAACATTTTCTGAACAGTGTTATTATGTTTTTGGAGATATTTATTCCCAAGGTACATAAAAAATAAATATTCTATTAAAATTATAATTCATTATTTTATTTAATATTTAGGTATTTCTCAATTGACACTCGATGAAGAAGCTGAAGATTATGAAACAGTTTCTGATCATACAAATACAACTGATCGTCGTAGTGGTGATTCGTTATTAACAACAACAAGACAAAATACTGTAACAACATTTGGTTTTGTTGATAAAAATAATGCTCCACTTCAATCACCTTCACAATCTGTTTTAACTGATACACAACATTCAGGTAAGATTAATGATTAATTTTTAACACCAAAAAAAAAAAAAAGATAATAATATTAGAAATTTAATTACTAATTGAGTGAGTGCACTTTTTATATCTTGTATCTAGTTATGCTCATGAAAAATTCTTATTATCGACATCTTTCATGTATCAATCCAGCGACTCTATGCAGTAGCAATGATGATAATGATATGACGACATGTTCATCACCTGTCGAAGTTTAATTTCATATAATTAGCATTTGTCAGATATAAATGATGCCATAAATATTCACTTTTTTTTTTCGTCTTTGTCATAAAAAAATTTTTTCTAATAAAAAGAAACAAAAAACAAGGTTTTTCTTTTTCTTTTTCGTTTTTTTCTTTTTATCGTAACAGTCAAATTTTCATAATAGATATTTTGATTATTTTCTTTAGGTATTGCTGGTACAAAATCATCTTCAACATCGACAAGTAGTAGTAGTGAAACACGACAATTAATTGATGTACCAAATAAATTACGTTCAAGCAAAGAATCATTTCAACGTGCTATGACAAATCCATTACCTCGAGAATTTTTTGTTGATGTTATGTAATTCAATCTATTTCAAATATTTCTCATTTTCTTTTTGTCAGATAATTAACAAAATAATAATCATTTTTTTTTTTCTTTCTTGTTTTTCTTTTTGCTTTGTATAAAGTTTATGTGTGACTACTCTTGATCGTAGCATTTGAATATTTGTTTAGAAAGAAAATATATCTATATTTAATCTCCGTCTTCCTTTTCTTTTTCGCACTATTTTTTTTTGTGCTTGACTTTTTCTTGATCAAAAAAAAAAAAAATTTCGTTTTGCTTGGAATAATAAAGGTAAAATAGAAAAAGAATTGAATAAAAAAAAACAATTATTTACTTTTTATTTCGTCTATAAATTTGTAAAACAAACTGAATTTAAGAAATATAAAAACTATCATTTCGGATAGGTAGAATGTATCGGTTATTTTATCCTAGATTAATACAACATGATATTCAACATTTTGTCTTTCAAATAAATTATCAATCTTTTAATTTTTTTAGATGTTTATGAGATTTTTCTTGATTTATATTTTAATTCTTCCATCTATTGTCTATAGTCTTTGTTATACAAATATATCACAAACATGGATATGTGATAATTACGATACATTAAATATAACTAAAACAGATAATTTAGATTATCAAATTATTATAAATAATCAACAATTTGAAAATTTTTTTGTAAAAAATTATTACTTATCAATATTTATAATTGATAATTATCCATTAACACTTCATTTATTAAATGCAAGTAATAATCAATTTAAAAAAATAATTATAACATCAAAAAATCGTTATAAATCAAATATTCGTCAATTAATATTGGAATCAAATCATATTCGACAATTTAATATTGATACAATTATTTTACCTCAATCATTAGAAATAATTTCATTAGCAAATAATTATTTAGAAATTCTTGATGCTAGAATTTTTTTACATTTAAAAAATTTAATTCAACTTAATCTAAGAAATAATCAATTAAAACGTATTTTACCTCAATTATTACTTGATATTAATATTGATCTAAATAATAATCCACTTAATTGTCGATGTACACCTGAATTTTATCAAATTATATGTGAAAAATCAACAAATTTAAAACAATCTATTGTAAGAAAAATATTTTCAATATTTTTTTAATCATTTATATGTTTGAACAATTTTAATCTTTAGTTTAAAATTGAAAACAATATACTAAATTTGCTAAAATAATTTTCTATGAGTTATATGCAATGATAATAAACATACTCTAGAAAATATCCTGGAAACAATAATTTTGAGACATTCTAAAGTTATAGAAAAAAAAACCAGCCAATTAGTTGAGCGCTTTTTATGATCGAGCTTTACATTTTATGATTAATCAAAAAGAGTTATGGTTCAAATGATTTCTACTTTTGAGTTATTTTGGACTGTAGGAAATTTTGATCAACAGACAGATCAATCCAGCAAGTTTCAACTTCATTTACTGAAGATTTCTTGAGTTATAAGCATCTTATTTCTTTTTATCATAATGTACTCCAAACTCTTCTTGATCTTCAATATGAATTTGAAGCGTTAGCTCTTAATAATTCGTGAAATACAGCTATTTTACGTTCGAAGATCATTTCTAAAATTTAAGATCACTTGGCAAAATATAAAAATCATCATCGCTGTTGATTTTTTGAAAAAATTTCCATCCACCACCAGAACATCAAAATAGATATTAGATTTTTGAAAATTTTCGACATCAAGAATCAGTTTTCAGGAAGCATAGAAAACTTTCCACCGCTGATTAAAACATCGGTTCATATTTTTACTTCCAATCTGTGCTTGCAATCAAAAATGTATAACATATTTCGAGATCGGCAAATAAAACTATGCCGTCAAATCTCAAGATCTTTTATTTTCGTGATTTATTCAAAGAATAAGAAACTTGATAAAAAGTTGTTATCACAATTTCTACGGGATTAAAATGTGAAACACGATGCAGTTGCTGTTGCTAATCACAGAAAGATTGTTTTGACACTATTTATTTTGAGATAAATTTCTTCATCATCGTTTTACTTAATCCTCCAGAAATGCAATAAAGTATTAACCAGACGCTATTCACATTAGAGATATCCATGGTGACACTGCCGCCGTGGCAGTGGCGTTGTGACAGCGGCAGATTTTCATCCGCAATGGACATCTATGATTCATATACGGTCTTTGATTGTATATCAGCAAACATCTATCACGATCTGTGAGGAGAGAGAAGTGTGCAAATTTCTACTCTATAAACTTCCATACTCCTTTTAGATTGTGTTTCACAAAAAAAAAGTCATACTTTATAAAATACACTAATATGCAAAGAATTAATAGTTCTATAGTTTAGATTTTTGAAGAATCTTGTTTGATACTTTACATTTGTAAAATTATAATTTAGAACGAAAGTCATAATTGTACGGCACCATATTATGATCCTCAACAATTAGATACTTATCCAGCATCCTATTTACGTTTGTCTACATTTACTCTTATATGTCCAATAAATGGTCAACCTCCACCTATAATTATTTGGTCAACACCATTTGGTAATCTTACATCAATAAATTCATCAAATATTGATTTACTTTCATTTAATAATGATAAACCAATATATATTACATTAATAAGTTTAGCTGGCCCATTAACTGCTCGTACACGACATAAATTACATGCATTTAATACAAATCATTTATCTATAACACAAGCACGCACTGGTTTACAACATCATTTTTCATGTTCAGGTATAAATATGCTTGGAATATATACATATAAATTTAATTTTAATATTAATACTTATGCAAAAAAACATGCTTTATGGCTTATGATGTTTACAATGATTTTTGGATTTGTTATGTCATTGATTGGTATTATACTTTGTATAATATTAAAATACACATATTATTATTCAAATGATCATATAAAAACACCACCATTATATCCAACAATGACATCAAATAGTGCTGCACTTACACCACCTAATTTTGAATTTAATCAATGGTTATCATTAACAGCAGCAAATATAACTGGAACACTTGAACAAGTACGAGATAAACTTCGTTCAGGTGTACAACAAGTTAGTGGAACAATTCGACAAGCAGCTGAAAGGTATAGAAGTTATTTAAAAAAATTTTTTTTTTTTTTTTTTTTTTGTGTAAAATCAAATAAGTTTTTTGCTTAGTTCGGCTGCTTATTTTCAATCATTTCGTGAAACAAGTCAACAACGTTTTAATTTTATACGTGTACATACATTATCATCTTTACGTAGTTCTGGTAATATTATGCGTGCTGGTATGAATATGTTAACAGTACAAGTAAATTCTTTGGGTGATTATTGTGGTGTTACAACTGGTCGTTTAGTTCCAAGAAATTATTTATTAGAACAACAACTTCATAATTTACAAAATTCAACTTCATCAATATTATATACATATTATAATCATATGCCAACAATAATTGAAGATGATGAATCTATTGTTGAACCAACATCATTAATTAATTCTCAAGATTATTCACCTTATACGGGATATATATCATCAACTGTATTAAAAAATGAATCAGGTATTGGTCAACTTGATACAGCTGATAATTCTGTTCAATTAGCATTAAATAATTTTAATCAAGATACAATAGATACATTTGATAATGGAAATTTCACAATAACACGACATTTGATTGGTGGAATTGGAACATTTCATGATCAAAGTCATGATCATAATGATGAACTTATTAATGAATCTCAACTATCGATTAATTACAAGAAATAACATCCAATTTGTTAAAAAACAAAGAGAAGATCTTACGCATAAAGATTTTATGTCAGATTTTTGAATATATATATACATATTTAGTTTTAGTCAATATTATTCTGAGAATATAGATATAACTAATGAAGGAAGTCCTCCAACTGATAAATTGCTTTTGAGTTGCGACTATGTGTGTTATATAGATTCAAATGAATTATGAATATCCTGAAAAGTGTTCGTATCCTTAGCTTATTATTGCAGAGATACTGCAAATTGACGGTAGTTTTTAAAATGAATGTCGTGATCCCCTCAGGAACACCAAGAAAACTGCTTTTTGAATTTCAACTTGAAACTTTGCATAGAGACAGATCTTAACAAGAATTGGTTTTTGTAAATGTTTTAGATCTTGTCGTTATTCGTAAGAAACAGCTATGATAATAATGTGTCGTTTATATCATAGTTACCATAGCTGATGAGGGAACTATCTGGACTAATACCCGTGATTTGACCTCATATGAGGTTCACAAGAAAGTCTCGGTAAGACTAGAAAATACTTAAAAGAATTCATATCCATGGACCTCTCGATCCGAGTTATGATCTTTTCACTGAATTTTTGCCCATAAATAGGTCAAATGACTAGTAGAATATTCTGAAAGTTTCAGTCGAAAAGAATGTTCCTTTGTCGAGATATTTAATTTTCAAATAAACTTGATTTTTGTGGTAAACAATCATTTTATGGAAATTCAATATTTCGACAAAGGAACATTATCTTAGGCTGAAACTTTCAGAGTCATCAGACCTATTATCTATGAGTGAAATTCCATTATTTGATTTGTTGGTAAATATCTAAAGTTAGATCGAAAATTCAGTAAAGCGATCATAACTCAGCTTCAGAAGCCTACGAGCAGGAACTCTTTTATGCCTATTCTATTCCTATTGAGATATCCTGATGAATCCAATATGAGTTCAAACGGTGGGCACCAGTTCAGGTAGTTCTCTTGTAAGTGGATGCGTTGTTCGATACGTATACACAAGGTACTGTGCTCAAATCTCTGTATCGCCAGCCATAGAATGACTGTATGTAAGTGACTAACAGCTGGTTGTCTCGGATCATGCGTCCAATAGCATGCTGACTACATGGTGACATACGCTTGCTCTTGTGGTTAATCAGTATATACGAAGAGCTTAAATGATTGAGTGCAAGAACTCGGCGTCAGTGTGGTCTTGTGCCAGAGCTACAGCTAGTCATAGTTGTAATGAAGATATCGAGCTATCGAATCTGCTCCAATGCACCACCGATATCGCAAAGTAGTTGAAAGGAAGAAATGTTTTTTCTTCCTCCCTTTACATCGCTCATATAAATCGGAAGATTTGATACTTGTATTTTAGGATAGAAGCAAATCAAAAGATCTGAAATTTTCACAGTAAGCTGGTCTCATTAAGTCCTGTCTCTGTACAAAAGTTTCAAATTGAAATTCGAAAATCAATTTTTCTGGTGTTCTTATTGAGAGAGGATTACGGAATTCATTTAAAAGATATCTTATGTCCGCAACTATATGTCTTCACTGAAAAGCAATTTGTCATTTGAAGAACTACTCTCGTAAAATAAATTCGAATCCATAAAATTTTAGAAGACTTAAAAAACTTTCATAAATGTGTTGATAATATTCATCAGTATTCTTTTTTTGAGCGAATGAATGATCTTGTTCTATTCCTATACTAGTTTTGAATACTTAAATTCAGAATAGAACAAAAAAGTAATTACATTGTTTCGTGCTTTCTTTTTTTTCTTTTATTTTTGTTATTTTTCTTTAAATTTATTTTCAGTTTTTTATTTTCTATAAAAAAGAATTTAATCAATTAAAATTTTTCTATTTTTAACATTTCGTATAAATATATATTTTTTATTTAACATGGTGTGATATGTGTGAATAAATATGTAATTATTATATACGATTACGAAACTATGTATATTCGTTGATACTTTTCATTATATTTGTATTTGTTTTTTTTTATTATTATTTTAAATGAATGATTAAAAGAATATCTTATATTTTAAAATGGCTAAAATAAATATTTCTTATTGTTTTCCTTATTTGAACTATTTCAGATGAAAATCGACGAGTTATTATCACATTACAAAAAAGTATAAAACTGTCGGGTAAGTTACGTTTTTTTTTCCTATATCAATAGGATGTAATTTATAAATCCGATTAGTGTTTTGAAAAAGATGTTAGTTTTTTTTTTCAATGAAAGATTCACATTTTTTTTTTTTTGTAAAGAAATATATCAAATACGAATAGACAAATAGAATTTCGTTTTATTAGTTAAGCAAGAATAAAAACAATAATGAAAATAGATTCTAAGTTTCATCTTACAAATATCAACGAACGGTATATTAAACAATAATTTCAAGTATAATTGTTAAAAATAATCATTTGTGGTTTTTACATTAGCATCTTTCTATCAGTGTTATTTATGCAGAATTCAAATTCTAAAATATAATATAAATGTGATTGGTAATTGAAGGAAGCGTTTGACCAACGGGTACACTCTATACTCTTATGTTATTCAATCAGAAATGAGCCTTACCTCACTAGGTAGGTTCTTTTGAAACAATAGAAAGCTGAAAAATCCTTCCAAATAGTGATTTATGTAGAGAATAGTTTTGTCATACCCTTGAAGTACGCTGAAGTACAGAATTTTCGCTTTTTTCTTCTCTTCGATAAAACTCATCTCAAAAGTGATTCATCATTTGATGAGATTTCCTCGTAAACTGATGAAACTTTTAATTTACGAAGATAGTTGATTTAAATCTGATAATTTCGTTTGTTTATTTGATTTCATTGTGAATAATAGAAATATATTTTTTTCTATTTTCAAGATACCAATTCCATTCGAATTCGTTATCAGAAACATCGTTATCGAAATTATCGTCGCATGCAAACATCATTTTCATTACCGATTAATACTGATGTAATCAATACAGAATCAATTTATATATTACCAAATAGTAATTTATCAATAACATTTCGTTTTTTACGTCCTGGTGATCAATTCGAAGTAAAATCTCTTTGTCATGATTGGTTTCCAATTGAATATCCAGATAAATGGTATAATGATATAGTTCAAAATAAAAAATATTTTGCTTTAGCAGCATGTGATAATTTAACACAAAATATTATTGCTTTAATTATTGCTAATATAATTCCATTAAATAATTGTAGTCGTGAAGATCAACAAATTTTACATAAAAAATTTTTATTAACAACATCAGTTTGTTATATACTTATATTAGGTGTTGTTAAAGAATATCGACGATTA